TGTCTCTGTCTGGCGAGCACATGCACCCTATAGCAGAAACCTCTCCACAAAACAACAACAACAAAAAACTAGAAAGTTTTTGAAGAGTAATTTATTTATTTATTTTTAAATTTTAATTATTTTTTTGGAGAGGATTTTGCTACAGGGCACGTGTGCTCACCAGAGAGAAAGAGGGAAACAGAGAAACAGAAAGCCAGAAATCACCCCCCGGGGGGGATGGCCACGCCGCAATCCCTTCTCTTCCATTCTCTCGGGATCTTGGGCACGCACGCACACACACCCGGCATGAGTATAAACCACCAGGTCCGGGACTCAAGCCACGATTGGCTACATGGGAGTTCAGCGACATAGCCATTACCCTAATTGTTGGTCCCAAAGAGTAATTTATTTACCAAAGTTAATTGAAGTAGATTCTTATAAAGCTTTTAAGATATGAAGCATCTCTGAAGTGAGAAGTTAGTCATAGATATTTGGGAAATACTTTTTAAAACTGTATTTAAAAGTCAAGACATGGGGCCAGCAGATGATGTGGTAGTTACATCGCTGGACTCCCATGTGACTGACTGAGGTTCAAATCCTGGACTCTGTGGCTTAAAAATCAAGCTGGGCGCATGTGTGTACATGCTCAAAATCCCAGGAGAATGGAAGAGAAGGGATTGTGGCATGGCCCAGGAGTGGGTGTGTGGTGTGGTTTCTCACTTTCCCTCTCACTGTCTGTCTGTCTGTCTCTTGTTCTCTCCAGTGAGTGCACATGGTCTATGGCAAAAACTTCCAAAAAGAAAGTCAGGACATCACTTAGTATTAGTGGTGTAGGTTCACAGTCTCTTAACTAAAATTCCAAAAATCCATGAAAATGTGACCTGGAGACCCGCAGATGGTGTAATGGTTATCACTAGACTCCCACATGTCTGACTGTAGTTTGAGTCCTAGTGAAATCTGGTTGATTTCTCTGAGTGTATATGGGGCCAGCAGGTGGCGTGGTGGTTAAGGGTGCTGGACTCCTACATGGCTGACCATGGTTTGAGTCCCGGACCTGGTGGCTTGCTTTCTCACTTTCCCCTCTCTCTCTCTCTCTCTGTCCCTCTCTGGTCAAAATAAATAGATAGGTAGATAGATCAAAAGAAAACAAAAAACAAACCTCTCTGAGTGTATATACACACATGTTTCTCTATGTGTGTTTGTGTGTGTGTGTGTCAGATCATATTTGCAATTGCTTGTGTAACACTTTCATCTTTAATTTACTCTTCAATTTATTTCACTATAGAATAGCACATGTAAAGTCATTTTCTTTCCAGATTGGGAGCGGTACATGAGAATGATGTTTCTAGATCCCCTTGTTTGGTTCTTATTCAAAATCTGTGTCCTTGGTCTCTATAGAGATTGATTGACAAAATTCTTAGATCACATGAATTTATGTTATGTATTGGCCTTGCTTTTATGTTGACCTTTGTCTTGTAAGTTACTTTTGCTTTACCTTAGCAGATGCCTTTATAGAGTTATATGCAAGGTTTCTGCCCATATTTTCTTTCTCTACTTCTGTTCTCTGTGTCTATTTTGTTGTTTCCTTTTTGTCTCTTCTTTTCTCCTTTCTTTGCTTCCTTTTCCATTTACCCTTCCTTCTTTCCTTTTAATTTTAATTTTAGCTTAGTTCATTAATTCTGTTTTTAGGTCGGATGATGAGCAGAGCTCTGCGGATAAAGAGAGACTTGCCAGGTAGGAGAACAGTATCTTTAGCATGATGAAGCAGGTGATGCTGCTTTTTCTTCCCTTTTTCTCCTCTTTTCTTCCCCCTTTTTCCTTGTATTTTTCCTAATCTATGGCAAGAAAGGACAAGATTTTTTAGAAGTTTGGGTGTAACAACAACTTTGACTTTCCCATCAGAAAACGGGTGAGATAAGGGAACTTAGGAGTTTAAGAAATCACTATTAGTTTTAAGTTGTTTCTTTCCCACGTTACTCAGTACTAAGTTTTATAGAACAAAAAGCTTTTAGAAATAATGTATCTGTGCCAGTTGTTGTTTTAATAGGGAAATACTCTTTTTATCAGAAAACCAATAAATATATCTCTTTGCATTTAGTTCCCAGTGTTTAGGCCTTGGCATTTACTCCAAACCTATCTAAAAATCTTATTTTCCTAGTAGACTTACAGCCTAGATTACTATGTCACAGCAGAACTAGTGTTGTTTAAGTGACTGAATCCTTTCTTGTAGTTTCCCGGAACACTTAATTTAGCTACCTTGAAAATGAGTTTTTGGACTTCAGCATCAGATATCTGTCAGATACTAGGAAGATAGTTATGTTGAGTTTGAGAGTAGAATTTGACATGTCTCAGGCAAAGTAACTAAATATAGACTTAATAGTTTTCTTTCTTCCTCCTCTTCTTCTTCTTTTTTTTTTTAAAGTGTTTTTTGTCTTAGGGCATATGCGCTCACTGGAGAGAAAGGAAAAGGGAGAGAGATTGTAAGAGGGAAAGTGAGAAATCACCTCCCCAGAGGGGATGAATGGCCTCGCTGCAATCCCTTCTACTCCACTCACCTCCTGGGATCTTGGACAGACATGCAGCAGCAGTGCCCAGTGTGTGTTTCAAGCCATCAGGTCTGGAACTCGAACTGTGGTTGGCCATGTGGGAGTCCAGTGACATAACTGCTATGCCATCTGCTGGCCCCTAGTTTTCTTCCTTCTTTCTCCTCCCTTGTTTTTTTATATGACCCAGCTGATATGTAACTGCATCTAAATCAGAGTCACAAGCAATAACTGTCCCACTGAAGACAGTCTATCCACAGAACCATGAGATGTTCATGTTTGAAGCCACTAAGCTTTTTAAATTAATAATAATATATTTATTAATTGTTATTATCATTATTATTTTAATTTGGTATCAGTCATGTGCTCTCCCTAAAGAGAGACAGAGAGAGAGGAATGGAAAGTGAGAAAGCCTCCAGGTCTGGGACGTGAACTGCAGTGGGCCATGTGGGAGTCCATTGCTTTAAGACACCTGCTGGCCTCCCTCTTTCCCCTTTTTTTTTAAATTTTAATTTTTGTAGAGAATTTTTGGTTTGGTTGTTTTTTGTTTGTTTGTTTTTGCTGTAGGGCACATACACTTGTCAGAGAGACAGAGACAGAAAGCGAGAAATCACTCCACAGAGGGGATTGGCCATGCCGCAGTCCCTTCTCCTCTATTTGCTCAGGATTTTGGGCATGCACACACATGCGCCTGGTGTGAGTTTTAAGTTGCTGGGTCCAGGACTCAAACCGCAGTCAACTATGTGGGAGTTCAGCCATGTAACCATTACACTATCTGCTGGTCCATCTCCCTCCCTTTTTTGATAAGAACTTTTGTTTAAATAGAATCCTTGAGTGATAACAAAAGTAACTGAAATAGAGAAAGCAAAGCTTCTCAAGTAGAAGCAGAAAAGCAGCAGGTTGTTTGGTTTGCTCCTTGAGGCTTTCCCCTGGAGGATACTGAGGAACCTAATGGAGCTTTTCAAAATTCCTGTTTGAAAATGACTAGAGTATTCCTTTTAACAGTAATCTGTCCTGATTTAGAGGAAGTCAGTGTTGGAGATGTGGTCTGCTTACCTTGATGAGAAAAATTGTCTCTTTCCAGGTCTTTTAGGTATCCCATTTCCTTTTACATTCTGTAGTCTCTAGTTCACTTCGTTCTGTACTGGGGACACATATGGATCCTCTAGATGGTAGTATTTTAGTGTCTCTTTTTAAAAAAAATTATTTTAACTTTATTATTAATTTTTATTTTTATGTGACCAGAGGGGGTGGGGAGGGGAGAGAGAGAGAAAGTGAGAGAGAGCAAGTTGCCAGGTACAGGACATGAACTGCGTTTGGCCATGTGGGAGTCCAGTGCTCTTAACTACTATGCCACCTGCTGGCCTGGTAGTATTTTAGTCTCTTAAGTTCAGTGCATTGGCAACACACCCAAATAAAGATAGGACTTCTCATATTAGTGATATATAAATACATTTTCAAATTTTCCAGTTCTTTTTCTAGCGTTGCTAAGTAAGAGAAGCTTACAACAAGGCAACATTTTATAGATAGAGAGAATCTGTGCTATCAATTCTTGTATCAGCTACTAAGCAACATACTGGACTGGGCAAATATTGGTCATTTTATTTCCCTAGCCTTTAAACTGTTTAATTAGTAAACATGGAGTCAACCAGTTTGTCCTATAGGGACTTAAGTGAGTGAAATAAACATTGTAAAATACTATCTTAAAACATTTTTTGTTCTGAAGGAGTAGTAGTTTACATAGATAGTGACGTTTCCAGGGTATGCAGGGAATTGAAGTATCTGCTTATTTGCTCACTGCCTTGTTAGTTTCTGTTTCATGCTTGCTCTGCATGAGAAGGTTGGCAAACCTTACTTTAACTTCTGAGACTTAAGCGTCACTAAACCTAAATACTATGTTCTTCAGCAGCTTACTTGGTGTCCGTATTACTCTTCCTACTGCCAAATGACAAGATGTGACCACCTGGATGGGGCTTCTCCTCTCTCTCTCCATGCAGGGAAAATCATAGTGAAATTGAACGGCGGCGACGGAACAAGATGACAGCCTACATCACAGAACTGTCAGACATGGTACCCACCTGTAGTGCCCTGGCTCGAAAACCAGACAAGCTAACTATTCTACGCATGGCAGTTTCTCACATGAAGTCCTTGCGAGGAACTGGCAACACCTCTACTGATGGCTCCTATAAACCATCCTTCCTCACTGATCAGGTCTCTGACGTTTATAGCTCTGAGAGTCCAGAATCTGGACGAATCTGTTAAAAGTTATGATTTTTTTAGAGAAAATTTAGCTCTTTAGTAAAAATCCAAAACCTTGGGAAAGCGAGTTTTTGTCCTTGGCTGTAACATTAATTAGCATCAGGACAATGAAAAGTAGAGAAGTGTTGTGAAAATGATGTAGCAAGCTTATAAGTATCTTAGAATTTGATCCTTGAATACATCTTACAAAGTTGGAAGAAAAACAGTGGAATCACAGAAAGAGGAAATAAATGTAAGAGGAACCAGTTTTCTTCTTTGACATGGGTTATAGAGGGTGGAAGAATCTTATTACTGAAGCAGCTTTCAGTTTTAATAATAAAGGAGTCTAACAGGTAGTCATCTCAGGGATGTGTTTAGTTACATTTGATGTGCTGTGAGAAAAGTAGAGAAGGCAAAAACATTTCCTGCCTTTTAGGATCTCTGAATGTAAGTATGTGAATGGCAGGATGCACACCCAAGTGAAAAATGATAGCAAAATACATACAGGGAATTTCTTTTTTTTTTCCTTACTAGTAGTTTATGTGAGATGGGACTAGCAGATGGCATAATGATTGTGTTGCTAAACTCCCATGTAGTCAGCCATGGTTCGAGTCCAGGACATGTGGTGTGTGCATGCCAAGACCCTGAGAGGAGAATGGAAGAGAAGGGATTGTGGCATGGCCATCCCCCTGGGGGATCATTTCTCGCTTTCTGTCTGTCTCTGTCCGGCGAGTGCATGTGCCTTATAGCAAACATCTCTCTTAAAAAGAAAAAAAAAATGTTTATGTGAGACTAGGTAAGTGCTGGAAGGATGGCTAAAGTGAATAGAATGGCCAGCCTTAAGTAAGGGTGGTTAGGAAAGACTCCTCACAGTAAAGAAGCCATATTCTATTTTGATTATTAAATTAACACATAATCATTGAGGAAATATTTGGAAAATATAAGAAGTATGAAGGAAGAAAACAATATACTTGCAATGCCACCATTTTAATCAAAGGAAGGAAGAAATATGGTCTGGGAAAAAGATGAAGAATTTACCAAAAATGATGATCTATTTGAAAACACATATAGCACCTATTTCATAGGTATGTAGATTGAAATAGTTCATTTGCTCTGATAGTACATGTGTAAATATTGATTCAGCCAACTTCAAGTATGTACCTTTTGTGAGCAAACTAGATGCTTTGTGCTGTGAGAAATATTGGGATGTCGGAAGTCATGACACATTTTTCCATAGAAAAATAGGAAAAATACATTATGACTTTTCTGACAACCCAATGGAAGATATAAGAGATAGTCACTGGTGAAAAGAGACATGTAAGTAAATAAATTATAAGCACAGAACAAATTTATGACAGAGATACAGTAATAAGTCCTATAGGAGTGCAGATTTGGAAAATGAGAAATTGAGATGTGGTGTCATAGATTTTGGGGATAACTTTAGCTAAAACTTAGAAATGTGAAAATAATTGGGTTATGGGAACCAGCAGTTAGCATAATGGCTATGTTGCTGATCTCCCATATAGTCGACCGTGGTTTGAGTCTCGAACCCCGTGGCTTAAAACTCATGCTGGGCGGATGTGCGTGCGTGCCCAAGGTCCCAAGAGGAGAATGGAGGAGAAGGAATTGAGGCATGGCCGTCCCCCCTGGGTGGTGATTTCTCGCTTTCTATCTCTCTGTCTCTGTCTTTCTGGCAAGTGCACAAGCCCTGTAGCAAAAACCTCTCCACACACACACAAAAAATAGTAATAATTGGGTTATTCAAGAAAAGTGAAGTGGTATAGCAGATTTTAGAGGATGTTAAAAGAAATATAGGCTGGGACCCAATGATAGAATTATGAGGTATTGTATTTTAGAACTTAGGTTTTGGGGCCGGCAGGTGGCATGGTGGTTGAAGTGCTGGACTCCCACATGGCTGACTGTGGTTCAGTCAAGTCCTAGACCTAGCAGCTTGCTTTCTCACTTTCTCTCTCTGTCTCTCTCTGGTCAAATTTGAAAAATAAAAATAATGTTGATGAGTAAAATGGAGAAAGATGAGGGACCAGCAGTTGGCGTAATGGCTGTGTTGCTGGGCTCCCACATAGTCGATCGCGGTTAGAGTCCTGGACCCAGAAGCTTAAACTCAATGCTGGGCACGTGTGCATGTGTGCCCAAGATCCCGAGAGGAGAATGGAGGAGAAGGGACTGCGGTGTGGTCATCCCTCCTGGCGGGTGACCTCTCGCGTTCTGTCTCTCTGCCTTTTTGGAGAACGCACACGCCCTATAGGAAAAACCTCCAAAACAAGAAAAAAATAAAAAAAAATAAAAAAACCTCAAAGATGATAGTTCTTTATAATAAAAGAAAAAGAACTTAGGTTTTAATTATTAGGTGTTAACAGAGTCATGAAAAATGTATTAGTAGATCTAATCTAATAACATTATAAGGAAGAATTGAGAGTGAGAGCAGGGGCTTTATTGATTTAGACACAAGTTGACTAGGGCAGTGATACGATACTGGAAGGCAGAATTGATAAAACTAAGTTATTGCTGAGTGTGAGGAAGAGTAAAGATTGTTGAGTCTCTAGCCTGAGAGGATGCTGGAATCAAGAAAGAGAGTGCTGAAAGAGCACAGAGGATTGCTTTTTGAACAGGGGAATAATGATTGAAGGTTTGAGATGATGATACTGAGTTGCAGGTATAATATCTACTTGAAAATGTTTCATAGATACTTGGAAATTAAGTATGCTGAAAGCTTGAGTGAAAAAAAGAAAAATTAGGCAAGTCTAGGGATGTAGACTTGGGTGTTATTACATTGTGGGAAGGAGTGGATATGATTTCCCAGGAAGAATGAATAGAAAAGAAGACTTAAGATTCAACCTTGAGATTGCCTACTTTATTTATTTATTTTTAAAAATTAATTTACTTTTTTAATAATTATTTTATTTATCTTTATTTATTTATTTTAATTTGACCAGAGAGGGACAGAGAGAGAGAGAGAGTGAGAAAGCAAGCCACCAGGTCCGAGACTAGAACCATGGTCGGCCATGTGGGATTCCAGCGTCCCCAACCACCATGCCACCTGCTGGCCTCAGACTGCCTACTTTATTTTTATTATTTAAATTGCCAGAGGGTATGCAAACTTGTCAGAGAGAGACAGAGAGAGAGGGAGAAGGAGAAAGTATCCACCATTGGGGTGTGGTCATACTGTAGTCCCTTCATTATTTCTTCATCCTGCCTGGATTTTGGGCAAGCGTGTGCATACACCCAGCATGCTTTTCAAGCCTCTTGCCAGGATTGGAACCATGGTCAACCATGTCAGATCTGGCTTTATTAACTACTAGGCAATGGGGCTGGGCCAAAAATGTCTATATTTATGGCTGGAGCAAAGGAAAGATAGCCTGAAGCATAGGAGGAAGCAGAAGTTAGAATGCAGTCTCTAGAAGCAGCCAGGAGAAAATAAATTTGAAGATAGAATGAAGAGCCCTGTCAGATTCTGCACAGAATAAAATAAAGGGGACTGGCATTGGCAATTAGGAAAACATTATAATCTCCTAAAAAATCCCCATGAATACAGTAGGTTAGAGTGAAGATTGCAATGGAATTGAGAAATGATTGAAAGGTAAAAGAATAGAACAAGTGGGTATAACATTTTCTTAGTATAGGCTTGACACTGGAAAAAAGAATGATTTGGCACAAATTGAGGGAAGATTTGTATAGAATTGAAAAAACTTGAGGGTTTATGCGCCTGAAGGGAATGAGAGAAAGTGAGAATATTTATGAAGCAAAATCCTAAAAAGAAATCAGAGAGAATGGGATCAGCAAATTAATTATTATTAATGCCAAACCTCTTTATTCCCCCTCTAGAATTCTGAAAGAGGAAGAGGAAGAGGTGAACAGTGACAGAGAAACTGAGAAAATACCTATTTGGAGAAAACATTCTTGTCAATGATGAAATTTACGGGACCAGCAGTTGGCATAATGGCTATGTCGCTGGACTCCCATGTAGTCAACCACAGTTCAAATCCCGGACCCGGTGGCTTAAACTCACACCGGGTAGTGTGTACGTGCGTGCCCAAGGTCCTGAGAGGAGAATGGAGGAGAAGGGATTGCGGCATGGCCATGCCCCTGGGGAGTGATTTCGCACTTTTTGTCTCTCTGTCTTTCTGGCAAGTGCACATGCCCTTATAGCAAAAACCTCTCAAAAGAAAAAAATCTGAAATTTACATTTAGGCTAGAAACTAGCTTAGAGAGGGGTACATGTGGTCTAAAGTGTTTTTTCTCTGATGAAATGCTTGGCTGTTCAGAGTTCAGTATTAACTATTATTTTTATTCTTGGACAGGAACTGAAACATTTGATCTTGGAGGCAGCAGATGGTTTTCTGTTTATTGTCTCATGTGAGACAGGGCGGGTCGTGTATGTCTCTGATTCAGTGACTCCTGTTTTGAACCAGCCACAGTCTGAATGGTTTGGCAGCACACTCTATGATCAGGTGCACCCAGATGATGTGGATAAACTTCGTGAGCAGCTTTCTACATCAGAAAATGCCCTGACAGGTGAGAATTATGTGGATGGGAAATGGATGGGAAGTTCTATCTTTTTTTTCTTTTTTTCTTTAATGCATAAGAGGTATTTTGGCTCCTAAATTTTTTGAATCTGGCAAGGCTTCTAGAATTTTCTTCTTTAATGAATGAATATATAGCTGTCAGTAGCCAAAGGGATTGTTTCTATGACCCCCCTGGGTACCAAAATCCAAGCATATTCAAGTTCTTTCATAAAATGGCATAGTATTTGCATATAAGCTACACACATCCTCCTGTATACTTTAAATAATTTTTAGATTACTTATAATACCTAATACAATATAAATGTTATGTAAATAGTTGTTATTCTTTGTTGTTTAGGCATAATGACAAGAAAAGTATTCTATATATGTTCAGTACAGATGCAACCAGTTTTAATTTTCAGGTATTTTCAATCTACTGTTGGTTGAATCTTTGGATGTGGAAACTGTGGCTATGTAGAACAAATTGTGATCAGTTATTTTTATCGACATTCACATTATCTACTTTGTAGCTTATCTTTAGAACTTGTTTTAGGAGCTGGCAGGTGGTATCGTGGTTAAGGGCAGTGGACTTGCACATGGCCAACCATAGTTCGAGTTCTGGACCTGGTGGCTTGCCTTCTCACTCCCCCCCCCCTCGTTCCTCTCTGATCAAATTAAAATAAATAAATAAGTTAAATAAAATAATCCTTTTTAAAAAAGTGATAAAAGTATACATATAGGGGATAGCAGGTGACACAGTGACTGGGGCATTGGACTTCCACATGACTGACTGTGGTTTGAGTCCTGGACATGGCCGCTTTCTTTCTTTCTTTTCTTTTTTTTTTCATGAGCCAATTTTTATTATCTCTTCATTTCTTGCATTTGAAGTACTCTTCAATGACATCCTTGGCCTGAGATTCCTTGCCGTATTCCTTTACTACTACACAGCTGCAACCAACCACTTTATGGGATTCTGTCAATTTTTTTTTTTTTTTTGAGAGGTTTTCGCTATAGGGCGCGTGCACTCGCCAGACAGAGAGAGACAGAGAGACAGAAAGCGAGAAATCACCCCCCAGGGGGGATGGTAACGCCGCTATCCCTTCTCCATTCTCCTCTAGGGATCTTGGGCATGCACACACATGCGCCCGGCGTGAGTTTTAAGCTACCGGGTCTGGGACGCGAACCGCGGTCGACTACGTGGGAGTCCAGCGACATAGCCATTACACTAACTACTGGTTCCCCTCTCTGTCAATTTTACAGAGGCCTACCTATTCTCCTACTTTCTTATTGTCATCAACCTTGTTCAGGTTGATTCGATGTTTGGCATAAAGGGCCAAAACATAGGCTCATCACAGTTGAATGCAAACACACACAGATGGGCTTGGCGCTTGACTAAGGCTTTGGCAACTTTATGAATTCCATGTGCTAGGCCATCGTGGATGAGGGCGATCTTCAGCACATCTTGTAAAGCTATGTTAACGTCCATTACACCTCCAGTAGCAATGCCTTCCTCGGCCATGGCAGTGGATTACAGGTGGAGCCAAATCTTTTTTTTTTTGGAGAGGTTTTTGCTACAGGGTGCGTGCACTCTCCAGAAAGACAGAGAGAGACAGAGAGACAGAAAGCAAGAAATCACCCCCCAGGGGGGATGGCCATGCCACACTCCCTTTTCCATTCTCCTCGGGATCTTGGGCACGCATGCACATGCCCCTGGCATGAGTTTAAGCCACCAGGTCTGGGGCTCGAACCACAGTCGACTACATGGGAGTCAGCGACATAGCCAGCCATTACAGTAACTGCTGGTCCCGAGCTGAATCTTGAATGTACCCAAGCCTCTGCCTGTGCGTGAATTGGCAGTGGCAGGAAAAGAACGTGGCTTGCTTTCTCATTCTTCATTTCTCTTTTTTTCTCTCTGGTCAAGTAGAAGAATAAATAAATAAGTAAATATTTTTTTAAAAAACAATACATATAGAAGCTTATGTTTATTTTGAACTAACCCCATGACCTGGTAGTTAAGGGAGTTGGATTCCACATGGCTGACCATGGTTCAAATCCCCATCCAGTGGCTTGAAAAACATGCCAGATACATGTATGTGTCTGCCCAGAATCCTAACTGGATGGAGAAATGGAGAAGGGATTCACATTCCATTCCTCCCCCTGGGAGGGGGGTGCTTTCTTCCTTTCTCTCTATCTCTTACCCCCTCTGGTGAGCACATGTCCTTTCTGACATCTAAAAAAAACTTATTTAAAAAAAGGTTTATGTTTATCTTACTATTAATTTAAATAAAACAGTAAAAACCAAACGAACAATAATTTTTTTCCACCCTAAAAGAATTACTCATGCTTGTATCTCATTTGTACGGATAATTTTTTTTTTTTTTTGAGAGGTTTTTGCCATGGGGCATGTGCGCTCGCCAGAAAAACAGAGAGAGATGAAGAGACAGAAAGTGAGAAATTATCCTGCAGGGGGGATGGCCACGCTGCAATCCCTTCTCCTCCATTCTCCTCTTGGGATCTTGGGCACGCATGCACACACACCCAGCATTTTTAAGCCACTGGGTCCAGAACTCAAACTGGTTGACTACACAGGAGTCCGACGACATAGCCATTGCGCCATCTGCAGGTCCAAATTATCTGGCATTTTCAATTGTTAGAGTTATGTACCTTTGCTTCATTTTGTGCTAGTTTCATGATAAGAGATTATTATTTTATGTGAGAGTGGTTATTGGTCAGTGTATAGTTGATTTTGTTGCTTTTTGTATCTATATTGTTTTTCTTTTTTTTTCACTCTTATTTTAATGCTATTCAATCCTTTTGCTACAATATGGCTAGAGAGAGCAAGTCACATCTGTTAGTGAGCAACTCTAGAAAAAAATTTAAGGTAGAAGCAGGTAAAAATAATTTAAACTATGGACTAGCAGGTGCATGGTGGTGGAGGCACTGGGTTCCCACATGGCTGAATACAGTTTGAGTCCTGGACCTGGTGGCTTGAAAGTGGTAGCATCTAGATCGATCGATCGATAGATAGATGTTAAAAAAAAAAAAAAGTATTACTTAAAGTAAAAAAAATTGGGGGCCTGCAGGTGGCATGGTGGTTAAGGGTGCTGGATTCCCACATGGCTTACTGTGGTTCGAGTCCTGAACCGGGTGGCTTGTTTTTTCACTTTCCCTCCCTCTCTGTCTCTCTCACTTTGTCCATCTCTGATCAAATTAAAGAATAAATACAGAAATAAAATAAATAACATTAAATAAAAGAATTCTTTAAAACTGGAAAATAAATTTTAATATAGCTATTTTAATTTGATCTTTTCCTCTCTTTTATATTTTTATGCATTTCATTTTTCTAGTTCTTCATTATTCTCCAAAGTTGCCCTTGGATAAAGAGGAGAAGCAATTTTGGCTTAAGGCAAATGTATATTTCTTTAGCATATAAAATTACATTTTTAAAATTATTTTTTATTTTTATTTTTTTTCTATAGGACATGTGCACTCACCAAAGAGAGAGAGGGAAAGTGAGAAATCACCCCCTCTGGGGGGATGGCTGCACCATAGTCCCTTCCCCTCTGTTCTCTCAGGATTCTGGACATGCATTCATACATGCCCAGCAAGTTTCTCAAGCTACTAAGTCTGGGACTTGAGCTGTGGAGTCAGCTATGTGCGACCCAGTCACCTTCACCATTTCACTGACCCTAAAACCATTGACATAAACTTTATGTGTGTGTAAAAATAATCAGGCACAAGCATGTAGCCTTGCCTCTTCCTTTCCACCCCTGCTTTTCAACTTTTGCCTTCCCTTGCACAAGGTTATTTTCAGTGCTGCTTTTGAACTTAAGAGTGAGAATTATTGATGAGAATTAGATATTTCATGTTTGAAAAAAATTCATCTCCTCCTTTTTCTGTTCTGTTACAAGCAAGGAGATTGAAGGGTATGAATAGGATATCTTTGCCTCCAGTATCTTTCCCTCCTTCCCACCGCTTACAAGAATGCAATTCAGACTGCTTTTCACATCCTTTTGCAGGGCGTATCCTGGATCTTAAGACTGGAACAGTGAAAAAGGAAGGTCAGCAGTCTTCCATGAGGATGTGTATGGGCTCAAGGAGATCATTTATTTGTCGAATGAGGTGAGTTTCAGGCTGAAGATTATGGTATGGATTAGGAAGAATTAGGAGCTGAGGATTTTATTTCTCTGAGAGGAGTTAAAATTTTAATTCTAAACTATATTGTATTAAATTTAACTCTGAAGACCCAGATGGGCTGTGACACAGAATAAAGTGTTTGGTAAAGTAATATTTATGAATCCTTTCATGCCAGACGCTGTGATAGGTGATTTTTTTATCTGTCATCTTATTTCATTCCACATTAGCCCTGTAGGGCAAGATTTATGGTTACTATTTTAGTTGATTAAAAAAAAATTAAAGAAATTAACTTTTTACGATTACATAGATAGTGCCCAATACAGAATTTTATTTTAATCTAGAATAGTTTTGACTTTTAAAACCTATTTTTTTTTCCTTGGGACCAGCAGTTGGTGTAATGGCTATGTTGCTGGTCTCCCATGTAGTCGACCATGGTTCGAGTCTTGGACCCGTGGCTTAAACTCATGCTGGGTGTGTGCATGCCCAAGATCCTGAAAGGAGGATGGAGGAGAAAGGATTGTGGCATGGCCACTCCCCCAGGGGGTGATTTCTCTCTTTCTATCTCTCTGTCTCTATCTTTCTGGCAAACACATGTGTCCTGTAGCAAAAATCTCTCTCTCAAAAAAAAAAAAAAGAAACTATATTTTTTTCTACATTACAAGGCAATGTCTATGTACTCAGACCATTTCTGCATGTTTTTTTAATTTTTTGTGGGGGAGTGGTTAGAAATTTAAGACTTCCTTATATCTTTTCTTTTAACAGTATTTATTGCTTATAAATTATACAGTCTATATTTTAGGCTTCTGTATAAAGTGTGGTAGTCCTTTCTGCATAGGTACAAAAGGCATCTTATAAAGTTACAAAATAGGTTCAACTTATGTATAGTGGAAATTGATTACGTTGTACTAAGAGGATGCTTATTGGAAATGATGGGTAGAATATTAAGGAAGGTAACTTAGGAGAAGTTCAAGATCAAATATTCTGTGGCTTAGTGATTTAAAGTAGTCTCTGGACCCAGACTCCTGATTTTTTTTTTTTTTTTTTAAGTTTGCGATAGGGTATTTGAGCTTGCTGGAGAGAGACAGAGAGAGTGACAAAGCACCCCTCAGGGGGAATGTGCATGACACAGTCCCTTCTTCATTCTTCTCTTGGGATTTTAGGCATGGATGCACATGTGCCCAGCATGTTTCTGAAGCTGCTGGGTCTGTAACTCAAACTATGCTGTTGTTGGCCATCTGAGATCCAGTGCCTTAACCTCTGTGCCTCCTGCTGGCCCACTGCATTTTGTTTTAATCCATAGTATACTATGGATTTGAATTGTAGCTGTTTAACTCATCTATTTAAACTTTGGAAAGACTATTTGACTACTTTGTGCTTTTATTTCACCATCTATTATTGGAGGTAATAGTAATACTAACCTCAAAGCGTTTTTGAGGATTATTAGAATACAGCATGACACATGCTAAGCTCTATGTAAGTTTTATCTATTACTACTATTTTAAAGAAATGAGAGAGGGAATGTAGGATTGGAGTGAGTATTCTAACATGTGGACATAGCTAATGCAAAGATGCAGGCAGGTGCAAGATATAATAGTAAAGTCTAGCAAATATTAGGTTGTCGGGAAAGCCATGACCTATTTTTCTATGTTTTTCTATGCAAAAATTTGTCATGATGAGACCAGCATATGATGTAATGATTAGTGAGTAATGATCTCACATAGTCGATCATGGTTTGAGTCCTGTTCCTGGTAGCTTAAAACTCACACTAGGCATGTTTGCATGTGTGCCCAAAATTCCGAGAGGAGAATGGAGAAAGGATTGTGGGCATCTTACTTTGTGTGTCTGTCTCTCCAGCGGGTGCACATGCCCTATGGCAAAAATCTCCCTTAAAAAAAAATGCGTCATGTCTTTCCTGATGACCCAGTAGATTAGGATGCAGGTAATATAGAGCAGAAGTCAGCAAACTACAAGCCTTTATTCATAAAGTTTTTTAAAGATTATTTCATGTATTGTTATTATTATTGTTGTTATTATTTAATTTGACTGAAAAAACAGAGAGAGAGGGAAAAGGAGAGTGAGAAAGTAAGCTGCCAGGTTTGGGACTTGAATTGCAGTCAGCCAAATAGAAGTCCAGTGCCTTAGCCAGTATGCCACCTACTGGCCTCTATTCATAAAGTTTTACAGGAATATAACCATACCCATTTGCTTATGGATAGTGACTACTTTCATACTATGATGCCAGAGTTGACTAATTAAATCAGACTGTAGGGGCTACAAAGCTGAAAATATTTACTATCTAGTCCTTTACGAAAAGTTTTGCTGACTTCTGATGTACAGAATCTTTGTATTTGAAGAACATATGGCACATTGCACATCAAATTCTAGGACAGTTACAGGAATACCAAACCTGACTTACCTTTATCCTTCCTTGTTAGCAGCATTACTAACAGTTTTTAGTGTCTAGTTTCAGCCAGAGCCTGTTACCATGCTGTTACTGTGGAAAGTTCTTTAATAGTGTATCTTGACTGCTTTTAATCTCTCTGTTGATTGAAACAGGTGTGGTAATAGCTCTGTGGACCCAGTCTCCATGAATAGACTCAGCTTTGTGAGGAACAGATGCAGGTGAGGTCCTAAAGAGTGAAACCAGGGGGATGGGCAAGTATATGTAGAGACCATTTCTTCCTCACTGCTCTCACTGTACTCCTTTCTCAGAAGCCCTCACCCTCATCTCTCACCTCACAGTTACTTTTTTCTGGCAGTATTTTCCTGAACATCTAAAACTTCTCGTGCCTGCCCTGTTTAAGGAAGTTTCCCTACTACTTTACTTCTGTCCTTCCTGTTATACTCTTTCAGTTGCTTTACTTTGGTAAGGATCAAAAGCAAGGTGGTCACTTTTGGGTTGAAAAGGTTCAAAGAGTGATTATCCTGTTTCCTAAATACCCAAGAGCTTAAAGTTAAAGGTGCTAAGCCAAGAGGGTGGGTGATGGTACAGTAGTAGAGCACTATGCCCTTCGAAGTTGATCTACATGGGAAAGTTCCAGGTTTAGATCTCAAGACCTTGCTGAGTACACTAGGACATACATACCCATGATCAGGGGCTAGCTGAGGCTTAGAGTGGATTGTGGCATCAAGACCTTGTTGAAGGTGCTACCTCTTTTGCTTACTCATGGAAGAAATAAACTTAAAAAGAAAAAAAAAATTAGGTACTGGGGCCAGCAGGTGGCATGGTGGTTAGAACACTCCCACATTACCAACCATGGTTTGAGTCTCAGACCTGACAGCTTGTTTTCCCCCTTTTCCTCTCTCTTTGGTGAGTGCATGTGCCCTATACCAAATTTTTAAAAAGTTGGGACCAGCAGATAGTGTAGCAGTTATGTTACTGGACTATGTTACTGGCCAGCCATGGTTTGAGTCCTGGATCTGGCAGCTTGAAACTCACGCTGGGCACATGTATGTGTGTGTCCAAAATCCCAAGAGGAGACTGGAGGAGAAGGGATTGTGGTGTGACTATCACCCGTCCCTGGGGAATGGATAATTTCTCACTTTCTGTTTCTCCGTCTCTCCCTATCTCTCTGGCAAGTGCGTGCGCCCTATAGCAAAAATCTCTAAAAAATAATAATGGGACCAGCTGATGGTGTAATGGTTACATCACTGGACTCTATCAGGTAGTCTCCCACGTAGTCGACCACAGTTTGAGTCCCGGCAGCTTAAAACTCATACTGAGCATGTGTGCATGCATGCTCAGAGTTCTGAGAGGAGAATGTGGCCTGACCATCCCCCCTGGGGGGTGATTTCTTCCTTTCTTTCTCTCCGTCTCTTCAGCGAGCACATGCGTCATATAGCAAAAATCTCTCTCTAAAACAAAAATAATTTTTAAAAATAATAAAATTAAGTAGATAATTCTTTTTTAAAAAAAGCTATGCTGACATAGTACTTTTAATTTTTAAATTTATTTTCACTATTATTTTTAATTTGCTATAGGACATATGTACTCACCAGAGAGAGAGAAACTGAGAAAGAAAGCCACCCGCTCTGGGACTCAAACCACAGTCGACTATGTGGGAGTTCAATACCTTAACCACCATATCACCTACTGGCCCCACAGCATACCCTTTTCAGAGTTTTACCTGATAGAGTTTTTGTCGTGACTCCTGTAATTCTTCTAGGAATGGACTTGGCTCTGTGAAGGATGGAGAACCTCACTTTGTGGTGGTCCACTGTACAGGCTACATCAAGGCTTGGCCCCCAGCAGGTAAGAAAATTGGACAGCAATTTCTCCTGGTACAGTTTTCTCACAGAGTCCAAGAAAATTACTATATACCTGGTATATGAAGTATACTTTGGTATAAGATGAAAGAAAACAGGAGTGAAGGGGAAATAAAAAACACTTTCCCTTATATATTGAGCTTATATTCAGTTGGGAAGATGGATTATTGAGATTTGAACATGACTCAATGTCAGCTCTCCCTGCAGAATGTGATTTTTATATGTGCAAATTCATATTAACATATACTGAATACCTATGTTCTAAGCAGTTGTTGCAAAGAAACATTGGCATTGAATGCATTTAATCTGGGAAAGCTTTCTTTCTTTCTTCCTTTTAAAAGAACTTTTTATTTTATATAATTGTTATTATTTTTTAATTTGACCAGAGAGAGACAGAGGACGGGGAAGCGAGAAAGCAAACCACCAGGTACAGGACTTCAACCACTATTGGCCATGTGGGAATCCAGTGCCCCAACCACTATGCCATCTGCTGACCCTGGAAAGCCTTGTAAAATAGGAGAAAGACTTTGAAGAAGGGGAAAATAGCTTGTTTATAATAACTAATAAAGGAGATATTCTCTGCAAAGGCTTTTGTTTAATTGCCAGAGGGCACTGTGCTCACCAAGGAGCCAGGGGGTGGGGTGGGAAAAAGCACCCTCCCATGGGGCCGTCATGCTCTAATTCCTTCTCCTCCATTTCTCCCTCCTGCTGAGACTTTGGGTGTGCGTGCGTGTGCGCGCGCGCGCGCGCGCACACACACACACACACACACACACACACAGTATGTTTTTTCAGGCCACTGGGGCCAAGAATCCAATTGCAATAGGCCATGTAGGATCTGGTTCCCTTAACCACCAGTCTACAGGGCCAGGTCCCCTGCAAAGACTTTTGAATCAATCTCTAAACATACTAGCTTTACTAGAACTTGAAATGTGAGAAAGGTGATTGGGATGCAGTGATCATCTTTTTAACTTGGGTTTTCAGAGTTTTCCAAATCTTAGCAACTTTATTACTTCCCTGCTAGTTGTAGGAAATTAGAAAGTAGGGCTTTTGGGAAGACAGGAACTAAGAAAAAAATAACAATAAGATGGCATATATTAGAAAAGGATTAAATTTTAGATTTGAAAAAAACCTGGGTTAGACCCCAGGCATTGTTATTTATTAGTGGTAAAATCTCAGTTTTCTCATCTATAATTGGAGATAATGTATCCCATTAGATTTACAGTGCTTGGCATATAGCAGCCATTCAGTAATGGGTAATTAAGAGCCAGCAGGTGGCATAATGGTTAAGATGCTAGATCTCACATGGCCGACTACATGGTTCAAGGGGGAAAAAAAATGCCACATGCATGTGTGTGCATGTGTGCCTAAAATCCCAAAAAGGAAATGGAAGAGAAGGAATTGAAATGTGACCATCCCCCAGGGGTATGATTTCTCACTTCCTCTCTCTCTGTCTCTCCTCTGGCCAGCACACAAGCCCTATAGCAAAAAACTTAAAAAATAAAAAAGGTGGTTGTGGGGGGGGGTAATGTAATTATAACATAAGTAAGAACAATTCATTTTAAGTAGCAATAACATTTGAGCTTTTTAGTCTATATACTATATAGAACATATATATATGTGTATATATATATAAAGTATGTGTTACGTGTTATCTTTCATACTTATATCAAAGACATACTGGTCTTGTAGATAAAAGAAAACTGCAAAGAATACAAGGGGAATGCAATCTTATTCGCTTTCCATAAAACATTGGCTTCTCTTTTTTCCAAAGAATGTAAATAATTACTGCTATTTGGTACAATTTAATTTTTGGTTGTTTGCTTACTTTAAAAATTACATATAGGGGGCCACCAGGTGGCTTAGTGGTTTAGGTGCTGCACTTCCACATGGTCGACTACCATTCAAGTCCTGGATTCGGTGGCTTGAAACTCACGCTCGGTGCTTGTGCGTGCTCCTCTTGAGGGGAGAATGAAGGAGAAGGGATTGTGGTGTGGCCATATCCCCCTAGGGAGTTATTTCTCACTTTTCGTCTGTTTCTTTGTGTCTCTCTGGCAAACACATGCATCTCATAGCAAAACTCTCTCAAAAACAGCAACAAAAAATAACCACAAATTGAGCAAGGTGTTTGTTCTCTGCCTGTGATGTAGGCACAGAATGACTGCCTTCAGTGTATTCAGTTTTACCAGTTTATTTTGGTAAGTCTTGTTCTCTCCGGTTTATTTCAATTAATATGAGTAAAGTATGTGGAAAATCATATCTATTTAGTGCTTAAAATAATGACTGGCATATATGGTAATTCTAGATAATTATATACCTTCTTTCTTATCATGTAATACTCTGTATTGCTTTATTACTAGCCCCTTCATACCTAAATATATTTTGAATCTTTACTTGTTTTTGAAGGCATTTGAGCTTGAGATCCCTGTTAAACCTTTTAACCTAACCTTCTTGAAGGTGTTTCCCTCCCAGATGATGACCCAGAGGCTGGCCAGGGGAGCAAGTTTTGCCTAGTGGCCATTGGTAGATTGCAGGTACGTATGAATTTTCCCCATCTCTCTCTCTTTTTGATGGAACGGAATCTCCTTCAGGACTTACTCATTTTAATTTTCTCTTACTGTCTGAATACAAATGCAGAATTCCATAGACTCCAGATATTTTAAGGAATATGGCATAATAGTGAATATTGCCACCTTGGATTTAGCAAAAGTTGAAGTCTGTGAGAGAGGAAGGGAGATCTTTTCTCCTTATCTTTTTTTGGGGGGGATTTATAATACTGAATTCCTATGTGCAGCTAATTTTCTTTGCCTTTGTGTAAAAGAAGAGTGATCTTTTTCATTTTATTATGACATGACTAACAGCAGAGAAGTAGAATTTTTTGGATTTTTTTGTAATATTAGATAAGTTTCTTGGTGTATGGATCATTATTTTCCAGTGTATTTATAAATAACAAGCACAACCTAGCCAGTTGAAAGTAGGTGCATTTTTGGTTGACTTCATTTTTTTTCTTTTTATTTACTTGATAAGGAATACATTGTATGGGAGTAGAGGTACCTATAATGCCCTCTTTAATTGTGATTGTCACTTTTTTCTTCCTGAATGAAATGTGAACATTAAGAAATTCCTAAAACTGGGAGTCTCATGTCTATGCAAATGACCACAGGGAAATGGAAAATACATCTGTGAAGAATAGTATCATTTTACCTCTTTTTTTTTTTTTTTAACTCTCAGGTGACTAGTTCTCCCAACTGTACAGACATGAGTAATGTTTGTCAGCCAACAGAGTTCATCTCTCGACACAACATTGAGGGGATCTTCACTTTTGTGGATCATCGCTGTGTGGCTACTGTTGGCTACCAGCCTCAGGTGAGGAGCTGCACCTGTTACATCACTGGTACTTAGGCCTCCGTTTTCCCTTTGCCTTTGTTGAGATTATGCAGTCATTTAATTCTAGAAATAGCCAGAACATATCAGAGAAAGACATATTCAGAAAATGAGATGATCTTATTCTATCAGTAGCTAATTTATTCTCAGCTTCCTACTAAGGCTATCATCTCATCTAAAGAAATTTGGCTTTCTGGTAGAAGCAGCAGGCTCAAATACATTTTTTTTTTTTGGAGAGGTTTTTGCTATACGGCGTGTGCGCTCACCAGACAGACAGAGAGAGACAGAGAGACAGAAAGCGAGAAATCACCCTCCAGGGGGGATGGCCATGCCACAATCCCTTCTCCTCCATTCTCCTCTTGGGATCTTGGGCACGCACACACACGCGTCCGGTGTGAGTTTTAAGCCACCGGGTCCAGGATGTGAACCGTGGTCGACTATATGGGAGTCCAGTGACAGCCATTACGCTAACTGCTGGTCCCAATACATATTTATTTTTCGTTACTAATGTTTATATACTTAATAATTTAAAAGTACTTGTTTTAATTAATTATACTATTATAGCAACTTTTAGCTAATTCATGTAATTATCCAAAGAATAGTAACTCATAAAATACATAAATTTAGCATTAGTTATTATAACTTAACTCAGTCAGCAGATTAATTAATGATCCATCCCTAAATTGACTTATAAAATCTTTCAACGCTGTTGTGGCCCGAGGTACTTCTGGCTAGAGCATGTTAAGAGATTAGTAAAAAAAGAGGACTTGAAGCCCTGCATTGGTTACACAGTCTCTAGCATGCTAGACTGTAGTACTGGAACCCACATGCTGACAATGGGTTCAGGTTCCTGGGTGGGCCTGAGAATACTAGGCTTGCTCGATTCTGAAGCAAGGTACCCAAGATCCTGAAGAGCTGGATGGCTACGGAAAAAGGATCATAGTTTGAGGTGTCCCTGTTGAAGGTACTTTCCCTCAGTCTTATGAACACATATATGTGCATATTATCTATCTTTGAAAGATAAAGAGAGGTCTTAAAAATAAAAAACAAGTTGAGGATTTATACTACCTGATTCCACACTTATTATTGTTACCAAGATAGTGTGATATTGGTGTAAATATAGATACATAAGTCAGTAGACAGAATACAGTCTATTCTTGCATTTTTGGTTAACTTATTTTCAGCCATGATGCCAAAACAATTCATGGAGAAAGAGTCTCTCTTACAAAGGGTGATGAAATAATTGGATTATACGTATGCAAAAAAGAAGGAACTTTTTTTTTTTTTAGAGAGATTTTTTTGCTATAGGGCATGTGTGCTTGCCAGAAAGAGAAGTAGAGAGACAGAAAGCGAGAAATCACCCCCCAGGGGGGATGGTCACGCCGCGATCCCTTCTCCTCCATTCTCCTCTCGGGATCTTGGGCACGCACGCACATGCGCCTGCCGTGAGTTTTAAGCCACCGGGTCCGGGACACAAACCGTGGTCGACTATGTGGGAGTCCAGCGACATAGCCATTATGCTAACTGCTGGTTCCCAACATTTTCATTTTTATGTATGTGTTTTTTTCTTTATTCATGATAGAACTCATGCACACACAAATGAAGATGAGAATGAGAGAGAGAGGAACAACCACCCCTGAGCCTGTTCTCAGTGGAGTCCCTTTCCTCCAGTCCTTCCAGCCCATCAGACCTTGGGAATTCATATACTTGCCCAGTGTTTCAGATTGACCAGACTGTACATTTGAATGTGTGGTCACTACATGGGATCCAGTATGTCTTGAGCAGCATATTAACACTGTGTCACAGAGCTTACCCTCCTTGAACATTTTTTGAATAAATATACAGATTGGTATAGTCAGGTTAGAATACTACTGAAAAGTAAAAAGAAAGAAACTGATATATGCGGGGGTGGGG